TATTTAGATTAGCTCTTTATTTTTTGATGAAAATATATTTCTCTACTCAGGAGACTGAGGCAGGAGAATCTCTTGAACCCAGGAGGTGGAGGTTGCAGTGAGCCAAGATTGTGCCACTGCACTCCAGCCTGGGTAACAGAGTGAGTACTCCACTTCAAAATAAAAAAACAAAAAGAAAAAAATTCCTGCAGGATATTGGGTTCCACGCCATATCTACCAACTCACTTTTTCCTTTCCTTTCTCCTCTTGGTGGCAGCTTCAGAATCTCTGTGGGCTCAAGGATCCAAGGGATTCTTATACATGCTAATGTTTGAGATTCACTCTTCTTTTTATCCCCGTTTTATGATGAGGGTAATGAGACACAAAACAAAACTTAAGGTCACAGCTAGCAAACGGTGGTGTTGGGATTGGATGTGCTCTTAAAGCTGAGGTGTAGAGGAGCGTCCAGCAATCCACCTGTAACTTACATGTAGAATGAGAAGCAGGCAAGTTCTCTCTAGAATGCTGGAGTTAAAGGGTGCCCCATTTGCCATTAACATGTAACATGGGACTTAAGTGGTTCGAAGCTACATTGTTGGTTATGGGCTTCATTCTCATTTTCAGCCTGTCGCTTTTTTCTGTTTATTTTTAGCAGAAACTTGGAAACTGTGGGTGCTGTTGCCTTGGACTGCAAAGGGAATGTGGCCTACGCAACCTCTACAGGGGGTCTCGTTAATAAAATGGTCGGCCGCGTTGGGGACTCACCATGTGTAGGTAGGACCAAGGGATGGCTCCTGCCCCTTCTCCTTTTCTCCATCCTCAGGCTCTCCTCATTCCCTATTCCCTGGCCCCCTCTCCCTTTCTTGCTGCCTTCCCTTTCTGCTCTTGGTGCAGCTCCAGGATATCTGGGAGTGAAATGGGGTTGGAAGGGGCTGTTCGGGGCCCTGCTTTGAGAGGTGTTTGTGTCGGCGGCACTGTTTTTCTAGAACGCGTGCCTTTTCGGAACAACTTGGGGAGAGAAGTGGAGACAGGGATGCTAAAGTTGCCCCCAGTCTACGTGATAGTGATTCTGCTTTCTCCTTAGCCGCAGTTTCAGGATCTGTAGACTTACTTGAGTGAGACTTACTCCCCAGACATGGGCTCTAATTAGCAATCTGAGAAATCTGCGAGTTTAAGACTGCGGTTATTAGATTTGACCAGCATGAAAGCGACAGACTTCTACAGTCATATTACAGATTGAGATGCTTTTTACATCAACAGGGAAGCGCATCCTCTCATTCCTACGAGTGAGAGACAGGGCCGGGGTTGTATGTTTCACTTTGTGCAAACTTTCACACTTTTCATGCAGGAGTCCTCGTGAACCCCTGCAGTGACTGGAGTTTTGAGAAATAGCTAAATTATTCCATCTGCCCCAAAGAGCAACTTATTCTTTTAGAGGAAATCTAGCCCTCCATTCCCTTTTTAATGTGTTGCTCTAGTCTTTAGTAATAATCTACACTCTTGACAGTTCTTGATACCTCTTTTCTGTCATGAACGCAGAGACACTGGAAGCTTCCTTCAAGAGAAGAGGCTTGGTAACACCTCTCCTCCTTGGTAGATCACCCAAGAGATAGGAAGTAGTCTACCTTTCATTCTCCTTAGCAAAAATCCTACCAAACTATCCCTGGTCAGTAGCGCAGCTTGCTTCAGCTGGGTTCAGACCAGACCATGGGGCCACTGCAGGTTAGATCCTAGAAATTAATTTTAAACTTCATTTACAGTGGTAAATCCGGACAAGAAAAGGCATAAGCTAAATTCTCAGAAGTCCTTGTCTAGCTGTGAGCACCAGATGTGCTTTGCCTGGCCTTCTGAGCAGCCTTAGGCCCCTGGCTGGACAGTCAAGAGGGACGATGCTAGGCACAGCAGTGGTCACTCAGGCAATCCACTTGTCCTGAGAAGTGCATGTGGTGGGGAGGACAGCTTCACAGACCCGACGCCTGTGCCAGGACCACCCTTGGGGGCGCCTGGCCTTCTGTGGTCCTAGAGTAACTGAAAAGCAAGCAAAGACTTGGCTACTTCCAAATATTAGGGCACATGGGACCTGGCCAGTTTATTCCCCAGCAGAAGCTTACAAGAAAAAGGAAGGCCATGCGCAGTTGCTCGTGCCTATAATCCCAGCACTGTGGGTGGCCAAGGCAGGTGGATCACAAGGTCAGGAGTTCAAGACCAGCCTGGACAGCATGGTCACACCCCGTCTCTTCTAAAAATACAAAAATTAGCTGGGTATGGTGGTGCGCACCTGTAGGCCCAGCTACTCGGGAGGCTGAGGCAGGAGAATTGCTTAAACCCAGGAGGCAGAAGTTGCAGTGAGCCGAGATTGCGCCACTGCACTCCAGCCAGGTGACAGATGGAGACTCCACCTCAAAAAAAAAAGAAAAAGGAAAGGCTCCTCCTCCCACTGCAGCAGTTCACTCACTGCCCAGTGTTATCTCCCTCCAGAACCAGAGCCAGGGATGAACCTCTGGGGCCTTGTGACAATTCAGTACAACATCCCAACTCCTAAGTCCTTGCCCCATGTCCAGCATCCATAAGTAAGGCAAATGTCAGTCATCTCTGCTTCTGTATCAACTGCAGGAGAGTAAAGGTGAATCCTTCCAAGGCTAAAGGACTCTCAGGCTGGTAGCTGTGTGTGAACAGATAGAGGAATGACTTAGAGAAGGCTGTAAGGTTGCTTGATCCCAGAACAAAATAAGGAAGAATCTTATCAAAGTAGCTTTCGCTGCAGACCCCTACTTAAGTGGATAGCCCAGAATAGTTCCCTCAGGTCCAGTCATGCCCACCCTCAACAAATAGAGCTGCCCTCCACTGGACAGTATGCACGGATGTTAGGTTGTGGGTATCCGTTTTCCCATAATCACTGGAACGTGATGGCCTTGCTAGAGATCCATGTAATGTAGTCACGCTGTTTCTCCTCCATAGTGTGTGGGGCATGAGGAGGAGGCAGGGAGGGGGAGCTTCATTGAGCAGAAAGGAATGGCTATGCTTCGGGGCCAAGGAGACGCTGTCCTGCTGTAGCTGCTGTGGGAAGGTCAGGCCTGCCCTCCTGAGGCTCCCTTTATCCTGCTCCATTCTGGGGCATCTACATGGCGCTTTCTAGCCCACCTTAGTGTCTACAGATCATGACTGCTAACCTGACCTTTGTCTATACCTGAGCACGCTTCGCGATTTAACTTTCACATAGCGTCCGACTTCTAATGTGGATTTGAATTTCTCAACTGTGAATGCTCAGAACAATCACCCTTTTTGAGCAGGATCCGGAGGTTATGCTGACAATGACATCGGAGCCATCTCAACCACAGGGCACGGGGAAAGCATTCTGAAGGTGAACCTGGCCAGACTCACTCTGTACCACATGGAACAAGGTACACAGACCACAGGACAAGTCAAATAATTTGTGAAGACAAATGCTTAGAAGGTATTTGATAAGTAAACGCATGGAGACGTGTAGGAAACCCTTTCCTGTTGGCTACAGATGTTGCTTTCATGTTGTTAACACTGTGTTTTGACTCCACCTTCCCTTAGGTCTGGAGTGGGAGAGCATTGAGTACTGTTATCTTCCACATCTCAGGAGAAGGGGGCAGTGGAGAGACATTGAGCCTGAGTGAGGGAGGGAAGACGCCTCTGCTTGGGCTGATGCTAGGGTGCTGTCTCAGGGCAAGGAGGGGAGGACCCTCCTTTTAAGCATTCAGGTGTTCATTTACCACAAATCCTTCCTAGTTCACTTTGGCATTTCTAACTGCAAGTGATTTTTCATGAGATTCTGTTCAGTAATGTATTGTTTCTCAACCCTTCCTTGTTTTCAGGAAAGACGGTAGAAGAGGCTGCGGACCTATCGTTGGGTTATATGAAGTCAAGAGTCAAAGGTTTAGGTGGCCTCATCTTGGTTAGCAAGACAGGAGACTGGGTGGCAAAGTGGACCACCACCTCCATGCCCTGGGCAGCCACCAAGGACGGCAAGGTGCACTTCGGAATTGATCCTGGTGAAACTACTATCAAAGACCTGGCCTAAGCCCCTGGAAGATTGTGTTCCAGATGCTAGCTTAGAGGAGGAGTACCATCTCCTCATGAGACACAGCCTAATCAATTAGATCCATAATTGGAAACAAATTGTGCAGTCTGTCACTTGTTTTGTTGCCTTAATAAACATCTGAATGTTTGGTTGAGGGGCAGGTTCTGAAGTCATGAGAGACATGCCCGTGAGCCATGATTACTCTACCACACTCCAGCCTGGGCAACAGAGCGAGGTATCAAAAAAAAAAAAGAAAAGAAAAGAAAGAAGAGAAGGAAAGCAGCAGCATGATCCTGACATGACAGATTTGGGAGACCCGCAGCATGCAGACACTGTGGGCTGAAAGGTGGGGAGGGAGGCTCCGGCAGAGTTGGAGGCGTCTGGAAGTGAGACAAGAGCCACAGACACACTGGTGGGCGAAGTCCAGGTGACCCTCAGAATGTTGCACAAGAACATCAGGGAAAAGAACCAAAATCCTTTAAGGGAAATGTTCTCCATGTATGAGAGAGTAAACTGATTTTCCTAAGAAAGTTCAGATCTTCCCTGACTTATCTGGATGTGTCCAGATACTTCCAAAGGACCCAGATACTTCCAAAGAAACCATACCTCCCTAACCTGGAGATGGAAGGTCATAATGGAGATGCTGTGGGATTCCATGAAGTTTCTTGGGTTCAGAGATGAGCCTCCCTCCATCAGTGTTCTCCCATGAGCCAGACTCCACCTGCCAAAGACACTCTGGTCCTCATATAGTGAGTGACAGTGCTCACAGCCTCTCCAACAACAGAGAGGAGCCGACTGCTGTAGGGCTGACCCCATGACTTCCTGCGTCCTCACCCCGTTTTGTGCTTTGAGATTCTTCCCACCTCCCCATCCCCACCAGCTGGATCAGGCACTGTGCAGCGTGGTCAGCATGGTGAAGAAAGCCATTTCCTTGGGGACGGTATTCCCCTTTATCTCTTGTTACACTGGAAACGCGATTCTGCTGTGATATTCATGCTCAGTTTTTTAGTCTCTCAGGGTTCACCTTCTCTCTGGAAAGAAATTGCCTAACTTTACATTCCATGTACTGCTAATAAAATGTATTTTGAAAGAGTAAGAGTGTGGTTGGGAGTCACTGTTGACAAAGACCAGAATGCACACGAGCTCTCCCCTTGGTGTCAATTCTGACATACCAGAGAGACCTTGAGATGGGGATGGTGTGGGGGGGTACCTGCCCCCTTGTGGAAGACGTGAGTTTTTCACAAGAACCGAACTGAGTGGGTTAAGGAAGAAGCCAAACCATGTTAGAGTTTATGGCTCAGTCCTCCTGCAGTTTGCCAATATTCACCCCAGACAGAGGTGCACAGTTCTGGCTCCTGTCCCCAGACCCTCCTTGGGGCTGTGTCAGCTGCTCCAGACCAGAGAGAAAGAGAGGGCACTTAGAGGCAGAACTGAGTTTGAATCCTGCTTCTCACTACCTGGGTGACCCTGGGCAAATTAACTTTTAAGAATGTTTCACCTGTAAAGTAGATTAATATGATGAAGAAAGAAAGGTAAAGAAAAACTGCAGTTCTCAGTGTTTTACTTTAAGGATCTTATGGACAAATATAGAAACCGTAGCTAGGCCCAGGATGGAGTTTCTGTCCTTAAAAACCTCAACATGCAACAACTGCCCCTTTAGGAACAAGGATTTTGTTAGCAGGTGTATTAGCTGAGGATTGCCACAACACGAGTCCACAGACAAAGTGGCTTAACCAACAGAAATGTATTAATATTTTCTCCATTCTGGAGGCTGAAAGTCCGAGATCAAGGCACGGCCACGTTGGTTTCTCCCGAGGCCTCTCTCCGTGGCTTGTGTAATAGCTGGCCATCTTCCTGCTGGGTCCTCACGTGGTCTTTCCTCTGTACATGCACAGCCCTGCCATCTGTCTCTACACGTCCTAACCTCCGCTTCTTATGAGGACACCTGTCATATTGGACTAGAGTGGACCCCCATGACCTCATTTAACTTTCATCACCTCTTCTTTAAAGTCCCTGTCTCCAAATACACTCACATGCTGAGGTCCTGGCGGTTAGGGCTTCAGCTTGTGAATTTGGGAGGGGTCAGAATTCGGCCCATAACAGGAGCAAAACAGAATCGTGTTGGGGTTTGGAAAGGGGAGGCCTTTTGGAGAAGACAACAATGGCTAAGTAGATAGAAAAAAGGAAGGAGGCCAGGCGTGGTGGCTTCTGTAATTCCAGCACCTTGGGAGGGTGAAGCAGGCAGATCACCTGAGATCAGGAGTTTCAGACCTGCCTGATGAACGTGGTGGAACCCTTTCTCTACTAAAACATACAAAAATTAGCTGGATGTGGTGTGTGCCTGTAATCCCAGCTACTCAGGAGGCTGAGGCAGGAGAATTGCTTGAACCCGGGAGGCAGAGGTTGCGGTGAGCCAAGATGGCACTAGACAACTGGGCAACAAGAGTGAAACTCTGCCTCAATAATCAAAAATTATCCTTTAACATCTACCACCATAGCATAAGAATTAAATTGACCCCCAGTGACAGGAAACTTTGAAAAGGCATGTGCCTGAAGAAATGTATCGATTGGCATGTTAAAAATTACATTTCTTGTTGGGGCTTGATGGCTCAGGCCTGTAATCCCAGCACTTTGGGAGGCTGAAGCAGGTGGATCACTTGAGGGCAGGAGCTTGAGACTAGACTGGCCAACATGGTGAAACCCCATCTCTACTAAAAAAATACAAAAATTAGCCAGGTGTGGTAGTGGGCGCCTGTAATCCCAGCTACTGAGGCTGAGGCACGAGAATCGCTTGAACCCAGGTGGCAGAGTTACAGTGAGCTGGGATCACACCACCGCACTCCAGACTGGGTGACAGAGTGAGACACTGTCTCAAAAAAAAAAAAAATTAACATTTCTCCTATTTTAGATAAAGAGGAAAGAGAAAGGGGAGGAGGAGTAAGGGATGTAAGAAAGAGGGAGAAAATAAAAGAGAGGAAGGAGAGAAAACGCGCAGGTTCTCAGTCATGTGGAGGCAGCAGCCATGCGCTGACTCTGAAAACTGGAAAAAAAAAATTAGTGACAGCAAGCTGCTGCCTGTGATTACCCCTCCCAGGGATTTTCACAACACCCGGGAAGGGAACAGAGGAAACCAGAGGCTGACACAAGAATAGATGCTTGATAAACGTTTATTGGATGAATGAGTGAAGAATAGTCATCTGAGCCCCGTAGTTGCCAAAGCCCCTCTAGTCCCAAACCTAAGCCCACCCTCTGTCCCCTTGCAAGTAACGAAATGCACCAAGCAGAGCTTCTGCGCAGCCTTCGGTCCGGCACGGCCGGAGCTATCACTGCGCATGCTCCGCAAGCCGCCTCGTAGAAGACATTCCTTCAACTGCAGGTGCTTGTTTCCCTTGGCACAGCAAGATGTCATTTCCCATTTTTAGAACAATGCTCCAAAGGATGGTCACAAAAACAACCTTAAGGGGGTGGTTTTCTTCCTGGCCACTGCTACAGCCCTGTGAAACAACAAAGGGATTTTTATTCAAAACACTATTTGCATCTCACTGTAAAATCAGAAGACGGTTCGTTAACTTTGCACAAACTGAAACAAGGTCCCGCACTCCCTGCTCGAGCATCTAAACACATGCTGGCCTGTGGAAGGGATCGACTTAAACGGTCCTGCTGCTGGATGTCTTTCGGTCTTGCCATGCCTCCCTCTGTGTGGTTTCTAAGCGGCAGGCGTGGAAAGGAAGCTTGCAGAAAGCCTGTGTCTGCCCTTTTGGTGCCCTCCATACAAACCTGAGAGCAGAAGAGGACAGTGTGTTCCCGGGAACATTCAAGTAACAGAGGAAGGTAGGAACCAGGAAAACACCTGCCGCCTCCAGCCTCAGACATTAAGAAATCCTCTCATTATCACAGCCAAGCTGACTCTCTCTCTTCCCTTTCCTCTTTCTGCTTCATGAACCTGAGCATGAATTGGCTTTGAGACTTCATAGCCCTTCACCTTCCCTCCCCGGCTCCCAGAGCCTGCCTACACCTTCTGTCCCAGCCCAGTGCTCCTCCCCGAGTCACACCCAACTCATCCCCATCTGACTTCCGTGAACACGCAGGTTGTCCTCTCATGGGCCTCCTGGCCTGGCCTCTCTCACCTCCCATGTGGGCCTGCATGCGCCTGGCTTCATCTTATACCTCCTGTGCTCAAGAAAGCTCAACAGCTCCTTTTCCGACAGAAACAAATCTAGCTTTCGGGCAGGGCGCAATAGCTCATGCCTGTAATCCCAGCACTGTGGGAAGCCGAGGCAGGCAGATCACCTAAGGTCAGGAGTTCAAGACTAGGCTGGGCAACATGGTGAAATCCGGCCTCTACTAAAAAAATACATATATAAAAATTAGCCGGGTGTGGTGGTACACCTGTAATCCCAGCTACCCAGGGGGCTGAGGCGGGAGAATCACTTGAACCTGGGAGGCAAATGTTGCACAGTGATCCACAGTCCCGCCACTGCACTCCAGCCTGGGCAACAGAGCAAGACTGTGTCTCAAAAAAAAAAAAATCCAGCTTTCTTAATGGGACCTCACCTGGAACCAGGCCTCCTTTCCTGCTTTATCTTCCATTAGTCCCTACACAAGTCTGAAGCACCAACCAAAATCACCTGCTCACCCTTCCCAAACTTCACCTTGGCTCCCAGGAGCTACCTCCCGCCCTCCCCCTAATTGAGAATGACCTTCGTGGTTCTCTATCTGTGACTAAATCCTACCCGGTTTTGAAGACTTACCCAAATCATACCGTCTATCTGACAACCCTAGTTCAAAATGCCCCCCTTTCCTTGCTGAAGCGCTGAAATGCAGACCTGTTTATTCACTGTGTTGCACTTTGCGAAGAAACCATTCACATAACTTCCAAATGTGTGTTGAATCATTTAGAGGGGAAAGGTGCTAAGCCTCTTTAAGAGGCTCAGAAGGATTAAGGCCAAAGTGAAAGAAAGTGAAAGCTTTATTTATTTATTTATATATTTATATTTTTAAGAGATGGGGGTCTTACTCTGTTGCTCAGGCTGGTCTTGAACTCCTGGACTCAAGCAATCCTCCTGCCTCAGCCTCCCAAAGTGCTGGGATTACAGGCTGGCTGCACCCAGCCAGCTTTGACGCTTCTACGCTACCCTTTATTGCACACTTGCTATGAACCTGTCGCTGAGCTGGGCACTTCTTATGTATGACCACACTTAACTCTCACTGTGAGACTAGAAAGGAAATACCACTGCCACTTTTCACAGACCAGGAAACAAAGGCTTTGAGAAGTTAAATAATTACCCAAGAGTTTCACTGTTTAAAAGGATCAGAGCTGGAGCTCAAGCCTGGCTCACAATATTGACAGCTCTAGCCCACCCCCTTTCATTCTCAGAGAATTCACAACACAGAACGGTTAGGACGAACAGGGTGGGGAGGAAGCTGTGGGCTCTTTTCCTGATTGGAACAAATTCATGGAAAGGGTTCATAAAGGGGCTGGGTTTCCCAGTCCATGTTTTTGTTTGGAAGAAGGTAGGGGAACTTGGGGCTCACACAATGAAGTTCTCTTTAAAGAATGGTGTCGACAACAGCTGATGCCCTGGGGAAGTAGCAGGCACCTCCGACGGCTTTGATGCTGCACCAAGATTCACGCTCCAGATCCCAAGCCCAGTGGCAACAGCGCAGAATACGGTGTTCAAGTCCTGCCTCCTACACTTACCAGCTGTGATACTCAGACAAGCTATTTTCCCTCTCTAAGCCTCAGTTTCCTCCTCTGTAACAAGAAAATAATATCTTTTGTTTGACAGGTGGTTTAGATGGATTAAAGCAAATTAATCTCTATAAAGCAACTGGGTGTACATTGGGTGCTCGACAAATTATTATTGTTATTACTTCTCTTGGACATGAGAATCTGCATTTCTCTTCATGTTTTAAAAATAGAAGTGCAACATACATTCATCAGAGTACATAAGGTGCAGTCATTTTAAATGGACAGCTTGATAATTATTTACATATATAGGCATTTCTATAACCACCACCTCAGGCCACATAAGGAATATTTCCAGCACTGCAAAACGTTCCCTCATGCACCCTCCCAATCCATATCCCCACCAG